CCTGTAGCCCCAGCTGTCCTGGAACTCATTATGTAGACCAGGCTGGCCTTGAACTCACAGAGATCTGCCTGCCTCTGCCTCCCGAGTGCTGGGATTAAAGGCCTGTGCCACCACACCCAGCCAGAAGACACTATTTTGAAACAATTCACTCTGACCTCTGACTCTTAGAATCTTTCAGCTCCCTCTGCTGCAATGATCTCTGAGCCTAGTGGGGAGGGGTGTGATACAGATGTCTCATTTGGGGGCTGAGCACTCCATGGTTGCTTATTCTCTATAGAGCTGTGAGTCCCCGTGTCAGCCACCGTCCGCTGCAATCAGAAGCTGCTCTGGTGAGTGAGAGCTGTGTTCATCTGTGTCACCCTGTATTCTTATTTAAGGTCACTTTGTTTATTAACAACGACCAAATGATGCCTAAAGTCATTTCTGTTATAGCACGTGGTTTCTTAGATGCACCCCCCACACACACCCTACTGAGCTTAAATCATATGGCTTGTTCACAGGAGACGCTGTCTCATTAAAAGGAGGAAGTATTCTTCATCAAAAGCAGCACCTATTTGTCAAGGAAGGCATTCACAGACCATCTCCTTCCTCTTCTCAGCCTGGAAGAGCCATGGGGGACTTGGGACTCAGAATTTGAGACAGAAACACATGATTGTTCGACAGCCACTGGTCTTTGGGGTGTCACTGCAGTCAAATCTGACCAATACAGCTCATCACACTCTTCAGCAGCCCCCAATGGGAGTACTCTGCCACGTCCCAGGAACACTCAGTTATTCACCCAGTGTTGGTGTGTATTGCACCTGAAGCACTGTGAGCAGGAAAAATGATGGCAGGCCGCACGGGCCCCTGGGAACTTTACTCTTCAGTCGAGGAGGAAAACCATACCCTGACTCCAAAGAAGAAATTCGAAAATATTGTGGTATGCTCGAGGAAGGAAACCAAGCCCCGGCCTATATCTACCATCAAATGAGCCACCATGTCCCTGGGGCCTCAGAGAAGAGCTCTTCTCCACCTTTAGTTGGTGCTTCCTTTGGGGAAAGCGAAGCCCGTCAGATTTCCCAGTGGCTACCGGGAAGCACGGTGCCAGCTGGGCTTGTCAGGAAGCTCATGGAAGAGGGCGATGTGACCGACCGCCTGACTGTCCATCTTCACCCAGTGGGGCTGTTTGGAGGCCCTGTGGTCTCCAGAACTTGACTCCAATCATGTTTAAACACATTTGTGTCTTCAGGTTTAGGACGGTCGTGTCTAGTCATTTATGCTCTGCAGTGATGGTTTTACACATTCTCTCGCCTCTGACTGCCATTGTGATCGTTAAAATTCTCTCCCATAGAAACAAACGATTTCACACACAGGGAGAAACCCTTCCCCGGTGCTTCTCTTTTTTTCTTTATTTTTCTCAGAAAACATCATCCAATACAAAGTTCTGATAAAGATTTACCTCACAAAAAGAAGAAACTAAATCAACCTAATCATTTAAAGTACATACATATATATGTTTATTTTATTATTTCATATAAAATGCATAAATATTTTGTGCATAAACATTTTGCTTGCCAAAATTAATTTTTAATTTCTTTCAAATGATTTTATTAAAATATATCTGGTAGACGGTGCAACTTACTTATTTAAAATACATAATTCAACAGGATTAAAACAATTTTCTTATTATTTTTACTTTATGTGTATGTATGTGTTGCCTGCATGTAGGTAAGTGCACCTGTGTCATGCAATGCCCATGGAGGACAGAAGAGGCTGTCAGATCCCCTGTAACTGGAGTAATGGACAGTTGTTAGCTGCCATGTGCATGCTGCAATTTGAACCCAGGTCTTCTACAAGAACAGTCAGTGCTCTTAACTGCAGAGCCATCTCTCCAGCCCCTTAACATGATGTTTTTATAACAGCCAAACCCACCACCCATCAACAGCCACATCTCAATCCCTCTAGAGTGCTAAGTGCCTCGAATTTTCCTGATGGGTATTCTTGTAACTGGACTCCTACAGAGTGTGGTGTCCAGCCACTGACTTCTTTAGCTCAATATACCATTTTCCAGGATTTTGTGTGTGTAGCATCATTATGTCATTTCTCCTTATTGTCAAATAACATGTAAACATACAACACCACCTTTCATCTATCTGTTCACCAGCGGGGCAGGTATCAGGGTTGTGCCCACATGTTGACTATTGTGAACATGTTTCTACAGAGTCCTCACCCAAGTTTTTGTGTGGGTGTGTTTTTATTTCTCCTGAGTATACACTTAAGATGGACTTGCTGGGTTACAGGTTAACTTTACATTTTTTTCTTTTTAATAATTAAAACCAATTTTGTAAAGCACAGGTTTAGTATTAAAAAGGATTAAAATCATATTAAAATACCAACTATGGGGCAGATGGTTCAGAGGGTAAGCCTGTGACCCAAATTTAATCCCCTGGAGCCCATGGTGGAGGAGAGGGAAGAAGAAAACCAAATCCCAAAAGTTGTCCTCTGACCTCTGTATGAACACCATGACATGAATGCCTGCACTAGCACACACACAATAATAATAAATCAAATGAATTTTTTTGAGAATTTCCATATATGAGAACAATGCATTTTGATCATATCCACTGCCTTCCCCTCCAAGTCCTCTCCTGTGCCCCCAAATACCATTCATATCCTCTCTTCTTTTTTATGTTTTACATATATATCGTTTATATGTTTTATTGTATATATGTATGTATATATGTATATTCAGAAAACCTGCTAAGTTCAGTTAGTGTTACCCATTCACATATGGGTGTAGGGCTGACCACTGGGTCATGGACAACCTGCTAGGTGGCTCATCCCTGAAGAAAATTGACCCTCCTTCAGCCATTATGGATGTCAAGCATTATATAAAGACACAAACATCAGCCCGGCTCCTACAGTTTTCATAACAAGTTTCCACTTTGTTGATGACCAAACATTTTCAAGATACCTCAGTAGGTAAGTCTTGGTGCAAAACTTAAGAGACTTAGCTCCTTACTCATAGCAAAGGCTGCTAAGATGAAGTCTATGTGACAGTCGTACAAGAAAAGTGAAAACCCAGAAAGCCTCCTCTGAGCTCAATGCCCACCCCATCATCTTCCTGCCGAGAACACACATGAGTTTATAAGGGAGGAGCTCAGGATGTTTTCCTGGCCTTTGTTCATTATGTTCTTTGGTCTTTTTTTCACATCTATAAAATAAGGAGTTTTACAAAGTGGTTCCTAGGATACCATCCCCAATATCTCCCAGTTCTATATTTTAATGCAGTGCTGCCTCATAAATCATTGTGTTTGTACCTTCTGAAGTTTACTAGCCGTTTACTGCAAAGTAAAACAAGAGTCGATGAAGATGCCACACACTATCACATGGCTCCTTCAACTGCAGTATAAATTTTAAGCCTGGGGTATACAGACCATTCTTTGTGTGGGTGAGGGAACATGTGTGTGTGTGTGTGTGTGTGTGTGTGTGTGTGTGTGTGTGTACACAGAGGACAGTCTTGAGGCTGTTCTTCAGCTATCATCCACAGTCACTACATCTGGCTGTTTGTATGTACGTTCTGCAGACTGAACTCAGGTCCTTGTACTTTATCATCCAAGCCATCTCTCCAGGCCCAGACCATTCTTTTGAACCTTCATTTCATTTCCCCAGCATACCCATAATACCCTTGAACAGTCCAATTCCAAGTTTGTCATCAGGCTGGGATGGGTGTCCGGGACTAACCTGTTCTCCTCAGGGATGTGAAGGGACATGAACTGCAGAGGGTCCAGACACTGCACCAACCAGCCTTGGCGTTCACTGATCCGAGAGACGTCCACCTTCAAGAACTGGTTGGGCATCCGGCTCCACAGAACATGTGACAGGAACTGGACGTGCAGACGTGGGGGACACTGGGGCACAGGGTTTTTGTACTCACTCTTAAACAGTCCCGCTGAGAGAGGCATCACGTTCTAGGATGAAGAGGTAGAAAACGATGATGATTGCTGGTGTCCTGACTTCCCTCAGTGATGGACCACTACCTGGAACTGTGGCTACACAAACCCTTCAGTCCCCAGGCTGCCTTATCACAGCAACAGCAACAGGAAGCGAAGTAGAAGAGTCTTTCTTACCTTTATTCTGCCCAACTCAAACTGGAAAACATTGGGACTTGTAGCTTGTGCAAAGACTGCGGGAAATAATTTTGTGCTCGGCTCCACCTTAAAAAAGAGAAATACTTCCTTTACAAGAACAAAGGGACACTTGATAGGAAGAGACCACAGGCTCCTCCTTCCACTCATGTGGACAGCCGTCCGTAACCGCTTCGTTTCACGGCTGTGTGAGTACATTTGGACAGGCATATGAAAGGTTTGTGGTGCTGTTCACATTCCACATAGAGGTGCACACGTCGTGACCTCCTTTTAGTGAGGGGCAATGATTTAGTCCCCTAGAAACCTAAGGCCATTGTGACCACATACCTGATAGTAAGTGCTTAGCTCCTTGCCGTTGGCAATAAACGTGAGCAGCCCGCTGGCGGCATCCACCACGCAGCCGATCTCCAGCCCGTTGTTGTTACGTCCTTGCCCGGGGCTCATGCTCTCTCCCGCACACACCATGTAGCAGTTGCTGCGTTTGATGCTGTATTGCAAAAACAATACAGGCAGACTCCATGTTTTTATTTTGTTTAATCACAGCTATGGGGAAAGCATGTGTATCTTGCAAACTAAACCTAAATTATGCTGTGCAAGCAACAAGCTCATGCTGTGACGGGAGAGGTGCAAAATGGGCCGAGTCTGTGATTCTGAGAAACACTCCATTGACTGTGGGGGATGGGCTACCTCTGGACGGACCGGGCGTGTCCGCACTTTACACCCAATAGAGACAGGCCAATGGTTTGGAGCCACAAAAGACCTGGCCTGCGCCTTTTCTGCTAAAAAATTCAAACCAAACTGGACTTTTCTTTCTGAGGGTCATAAAAGTTAATTTAATCATCATTCAAATTTGAATTTTCATCTTTTTTGTTGTCCAGGGATGAGAAGCATTCATTTCTAAACACTATCAAAATCCTCAGGGAAATTCTGTATGCGTGCTATAATACTTTTGGCTAAATTATGCCCCTCTGTGGATAATTTCCGGTGATCTGCTATGACAGAGGGTTAACTTGATGATGCACCAAGTCAATGTTGTGAGCAGAACTCCTCCTGACTTCCACCTGCACCCAAACCTCCATAAGGGATGGAAACGCAGTAAGGATTTTGAGCTGCATCCCCATCCCGTGCTCCCACTCTATAGCCAACACATCAACAAGACTAGCAAAGAAAGGGCAAAGGCAAGCAGGCAGGAGGCCACGAACAGAAAGGTTGGAACAAAGTCCTTTCCAGATCGTCCAAATGCAGGTTGCGTTTCTTTGCGCTAGGCACCGGTACCCAATGATTGTCCCTCGCCCTCCGTTTCCAGCTCTAATAGCCTGTCACTTACAGCGTCCCTATACTGAGTGTTTTCTATGCCATCTTTGAATATTAAATACATGCCTGAATATTCCTAAAAAGACACAGTGTTGGGGGTGTCCCATGCTGATATCAAGTACTCTTTGAGGCTTTGGCTACGGTCCTTGCCTGCAGTGGTTAAGTCCTGAGGGAGGGGACAGTGCATTTCCCGGTCACCAAAAAAAGGATGGTGCAGCCAGAGAAGAAAAGCAACGTCATGAAAGACTCTTTCTGAGACCTGCCACAGCAGATCAGAGAGGATGGCATGGCGCACAGGGAGAAGCGAACGGTGGGATCTTCCCTTGTCTTTTTTTGCAAGGAAGATGGCCTTGTTCACTTCTTTGAAGGTTTGGCTTGAGTTTGGCTTTTTTAACAAATGAGGAAGGGTGGTACAGAAACTGTAAGTGACTTACCCAAGGCCACACAGCGGGTCAATGGTGAAGCTGAGGAAGGAACCCACTGGTCCTCAGTCGGAGTTCAAAGGTGCGTGCCTGGCCAAGTCTAGGCTACCAGCCCGCCCTTTCTGGCTGTCTTCTCCCCACCACAAGCCAGTCCCCGAGAGGCTGAGCAGGCCACAGACTCTCCACAACTCACCCATCTCTCATCCATAACACAAAGGTTAAGGATTGGCAGTCCAAGTCATTAGCCATATCACCTGAACAATATTTGATGGTTATCCCCAAAGGTTGCTATGTGACTTTTGCTTTTAATATATTTATAATCCTTGCTGGTTTGTGTAACAAAAGAGAACACTGATATCAAAGGCTTCCTTAAATTGTTCCCATAAATGGAGATATCGTGGGTACAAAATCCAAGAAACAAGAGCTTCTAGATTCAGTCACACTTTTTCCAGACGTGACATCATAGGAAACACACTTTTTTAACAACAAAACCAACCTCTCATGCACTTTTCCTTTGTCGTCTCCTAGCGTGACAGTCACCGTGCGGACTCTATCCAAGTCAAAGCCTGTGTCATACTGGTGGAAGTCAGATGTAATCCAGCCCACCCAGACATTAGCTGGTTCTTGTCCGGGGAAGATCCTCACCGAGTAATAGTACTGTGGAGACAGAGGGACGAAGTGTGGGCAGCACAAAGAGACAGACGTGTGGAAAGCTGGTGCCGGCTGAGCCTCTGTGTGGCCCAAGAACATATTTCTTTCTTCAAAATCATTTGGCTGGATTAGACTGGAATAGACGCAAGGCACTAACTAGCAAAGAGGGAATGCTCTGTATTGGAGATTAGAATTAAATGAAAACTAATGGGAGAGAAAAGGTCATTCATGCCAAGACTGTGGAGCTAACCCAGCAGCTAAAAGTGTTTCCTGCTCTTCCAGATGACCCAGCACCCACACTGGGCAATCTACAACTGCCTGGAACATGTGTACCTATGAATATATAGGCACATGTATGAAGCATACATACATAATGAAATGCATCAATATGTTAGGTAAACTTTGAATTCTTCCAATGTCTAGAGATTTCACGTGCATCACCGGCCTCTGCACACACACAGCTTTTCACATGCATCACCCGCCTCTGCACACACACAGCTTTTCACATGCATCACCCGCTTCTGCACACACACAGCTTTTCACATGCCTCACCCGCCTCTGCACACATACAGCTTTTCCTTTCTCTGTTATGTAACACTGCAACATCTAAAGTCACTTTCAAATAGTTTGGATCTAAGATGCAAACATCTGCATCCATAGCAGACACAGTTCTATTTTTTTCCCATTTGGCATTTTAGGATAGTCTTGAGACTGTAAAATGACAGAGAGCAAAATTTGACCTCATGCAAAGTATGATAAGTGATCTGCTCTCAGACGGTTTACTAAAATTAAAAAAACAAAACAAAAACAAAAAAAACATGCGTTCTTTGAAAAGTCAGGTGGCAAAAGAAAAGCTCGTCAAGAACCAGGACAACAAGTTACAGATGTCAGTAAGGATCACAAAAGATACAAACTTTTCCTCAGGTGTTTCATCCCCCAAATTTGTTTGAAATATAAGAATATAAGCAAATAATTACTTTAAGAATGTTCCTCAGCTGCATGCTGGCACGTGTATGTAATCCCAACACTCTGAAGGATGAGGTAAGAGGACCATGGGCTCAAGACCAACCTGGATCACATAGTGAGACCCTCTCTCAAAGAACCAAACAATGGCTGTGGCTGCTGGGAGAATGTTTGCTTAGCATGTAGGAAGTCTTGGACTCTATCCCCCAGCACCACATAAACTGAGTGTGGTGGCTCATGCCTATAATCCCAGGACTCAAAAGGCAGAGGCAGGGGATTAGGAGTTCAAGGTCATCCTCAGCTGCATAGCAAGTCCAAGGCCAGCCTGGGCTACAGGAGACTCTTTTGCCAAAACAAAACGAAATAAAAAAGAATAGTGCTAAATACAACACATCAAAATATACTATTTGTGATGGAGCGTGTCATAATTAACCAACACTAACTGGCCCCAGGTACTACGAGGTGCTACGAGCTCATACCATGGATGTCTGCATCAGGCAGTCATAGTCGTCACGGTCATCAGCAAGGACATCTTCAGTGAGTCTCGCAGAATGGCTTGTGCTGTAGTCTGGCTTTGTTCTTCGAAGTAAGAATCTGAAATAACATGTGGAGAAGAGGAGTAAGTAACGTGCTCTGCCTGCTTCGCATCTGAGTGTACAACTGACTAAGCAGTCAGCACCAGGGCAATGTTCCTCCCTGGGAGCCTCTGGGAGTACTGGAAGATGTCAGGGCTGGGAAACAGAGCCCTCCTGGCATCTAGTGGGTCGGGGGAGGGGTTCTGCTCAACATCGTTAATGCTCAGGGCGTCTCCAGCAACAGAGTAGCCTGGCCAAAGAGGCAATTGCCCTAAGTTTGAGAAGCACTGACCACTCAGGAAGGGAGACTACAGCAACCTGCCTTTCTGACCTCAGAGAGCAGCATTTGGAGAGCGCACTCTAAGTCCCATCCAAGAAGGTAAACATAGACAGCTCAACTCTTTGAACAAACTACATCTGAGCTCACAGGTTGGAAAAACATTGGTTTACTTGTTGTTCCCCTGAAAATCTTTTGCAAATGAATGAATGAATGAATGAATGAGAAGGAGGAATGCCAGGAAACCCTTTGTCCTCTACTATAGCTTGGGTGACTTTGATAACTATGTCCTTGTGAAGCACATTGTAGCTGGGGGAGTGAGCTGTAATCTCAGCACTGGGGAGACTGAAGGAGGAAGAATGTCATAAGCTCCAGGTCAGCCTGGGCTACAGACTGAGAGCCTATCTCCAAACCCTCCCCAAACAGAGGCTACAGAGATGGCTTAGCTGGTAACTTGCTGACTGCACAAGCATGAGAACTTGAGTTCAGATGACCAGTACCAGAGAAAAAGCCATGTGTGGAAGTGTGTGCCTGTAACACTAGAACCAGAGTGGCAAAGGCAGGCAGATCCCTGGGGCTCACTAGCCAGCCAGTCTAGTCAAATTGGCAAGTTTCTAGTTGAGTGAGAGACCCCGTCTCAGAAAATAGGGCAGAAGCAGGGCGTGGTGGTGCACGCCTTTAATCCCGGCACTCAGGAGGCAGAGGCAGATGAATTGAAGCTAGCCTGGTCTACATGGTGAGTTCTATGCCAGGTGGGGCTACAGGAAGACCCTGTTTTAAGAAACTAAAAGTAAATAAATAATAAATAATAAAAAGAAGGTGGAGAGTGGAGAAGGAATTGACCACACATCAACCTTTGTCTTCTACATACATGCACATGTGCACATGATACACCTGTACACACAAGTGAACACACACAGCCACATACAACATACACACACACAAGTGTACCGGCAGGTGTACATTCACACAAATGTATGTACACAGGCCCACACCAGACACATACACACACACACACACACACACACACACACACACACACACATACATGCACACACACATATCACAAGCCAGACAGAAAAGCAATCCCAGTCTCTTCCAGTGACCTTTGCTTCAGACGGGAGGGCTTCTCCTGAGCATAATCTTTGTGGTTATTGAACTCTGGCTTTGGAGTGTCCTTCTCTTTGTCAATGCGGTCGGGCACCAGATGGCCATGAGCAGTCTTCATGAGAACCTCAAAGTCAGAATCCACATCGTAGTCTTCCAACTCATTCTTGGGCCCGAAGAGGCCAGCGCCTGGGAGCCCTCCAGCCATGGTCTTGGAGAAGACCTCCGCACACTCAATGGGCATGCTCAGGCGGTAAAACATGATGTCAGTGCTGCTGTTCTGAGAACCGAAGGACTTCTGAGTGACCTTCAGACAGGGGGAACTGTCTATGGTGCCATCTATCCTGGTCACCTAACAAACGAAGACGCCACAGACAATGGTTAGTTTTGACTGTCAACTTGACTCAAGGGCTCGGGAAGGGAGTCACAATGATCTAGAGTATGTGGGTCTGTGGGTGTGCCTTGAGAGCTCTTCTTAATTGAGTTCACTGAGGTGGGAAGACTCACCCACTCTGGGTGACCCGTTCCCTAGGCAGGGGATCCTGACCTTGGTAAGTGTAGAGTAGGTAAGCTGACCACAAGCACGCAGGTAGTGCTCTCTGCTCCTGATTGAGGATTCAGTCCCTCGGGCTCCTGCTGCTGTTACTTCCCCACAGGGATGGACTGTAACCCAGAACTGGGAGCTAAACTGACCTTGTCTCCCCTAAGCTGCCAGGGTATTTATCACAACTAGAAAAAAAACCAAGACACTAGAGCTCACACTCTGATCACCCTCTATCAATTTCCTGATCTGAAAGATGACAAATGCATTCTACACTGACATGATCTGCCCCAAGCATCACTGTGTAAGAGATGATTAAGCATAGTGTACTGTGTTATGGACACAGTCAACAACTCAGTCAACTCAAGTTCCATGTCTGTGATTCAACAAAATATTTTGGGAAAATGTATTTGCAACAAATATGACCAGATTTGTTTTCTTGTCATTACCAATGTGTCATGACAACTATTTACATGACATTTACAATGTACTATATATTATAACTAATTCAGAGGGGATTTACACTGTGTGAGAGGCTGTGCATAGGTCCTGTGGGAATGCTAAGTCATTTGTGCAAAGGACTTGAGCACCTGAAGATTTTTGTATCCAAGCGAACCCTGGAGCCTGTTCTCTGTGTTTATCTAAGGACATCTGCTTTGATAGAGTTATGCTCCTATGTATAAAGACAGCTTGAGAAATTCACATCATAACTAACACATCCAGTTCATCCTGACGCTGTCTATAGAAAAAGGAAATTCTCCACAAGTCTAACAAGAGACTGATATGGTATCCCCTGAGAGGCCACTCCTTTGCTTGAATCCCATTACTATGTAACACAGCATACACCATTTTAGTAACTGCAATCATCGCTCAAGAGGCACTGTCACACATAAATATTCATGTCTGGATTCTGGAAAAGGTTTGATTATGAAAAAGTAAGAGCAAACCTCAATGTGTTCGTGGTTTGGTGGGACCTGGAGGAACTGTGGGAGCCGTTTGCTCAACCACACAGTGATGTCCCGGTTTGTGTTAACAGCGAATGGCTCATAGCCCTCTTGTAAGCCACAGATGGTGAAATATTTCAAGGTGCTAACATCCTTTCCGAAGTTCATTCTACCTACTTGTGCCACGCCGAGGCTGCACACAGGAATGAACCCTGGAATGAAAACAGAAATAAAAATATTTAGTGTTGTGAATGGAATATTCTGCTAGCATGAATGAATGTGCACCTTGCTCCAGGCGCCCTGCTTTTGAAAAAAAAATGATGTAATGAAGGAACACAATAGTGTAATGAAGAGACCAAGAGACCACTGACATAAGTCCTTCACGTCCGAGAGAGGAGAGCAGTGCTTGATCCCAACCTCACACTTTACACTTAACTAGTTATGGACCTTGGAAATGCTTGTTCCCTGTCTGGACTATGAGGTCACTCCAAGTCGTCCAGGAATCTTGGAGTATCTACTCTTACAAGGACCTGCCCAACAGTCTCTATGATCAGTGCCTGTGTATTCCTCTTTCATGAAGGAGAGAGAGAAAGGATGAAAGATCAAGGGAAGTGTGGCTCCCTTGGCTTCCCTTTCAATAGCTAAAGACCTTGGTTTGTCAAAACCCCAGACACGGTCTGTGCTATCCACTTCTTTAAACATATCTCAAGGAAAAACTGGTTAGAGGCAAACATTTAAAAGGTTTCTAGACCTGGAGAGATGGATCAGTGGTCAAGAGCACATGTTGCTCTTGCAGAGGACCTGGGTTCAGTTCCTAGCACACGTATAACTGTAACTCCAGTTCCAGGGGCTCTGATGCCCTCGTCTGGACTCTGCAGACACCAAGTCCACATGTGGTACACATATATGCATGCAGACAAAACGCTCATAGACACAAAACAAAAATAAAATAAATATTGTAAGTATTTTCTTTGTGCTCATAGCTGCTTTGAGTTTTGAAGAGAAATTTATCATAAGTTAGGACTAATAATGAGAGATGGTTATCCATATATATGTGCATATGTATATGAATATAAGCATATGTGTATGTATTTATTATACATAGGGCATGCAGATAGGTATATCACAGCTATGATATATAATACATATACATATACATATACATATATATCACACAAACATACACATTCACATACACAGGAACAATCAATGGGACAAAAACCAATAAAATATTTCATTAGCTAATCTAAGAGGCAGAATCAGAAAATCTTTCCACTATTTAATATGAGATGGAATTATATTAATATTATCCCTTCTCTGAGATCTTTGGAACCAGTACAATGGCATGAGATAGCACTGTTTTGCCAGCAGGCGTGCATGGGAGGGTGCTTTTCTAGGAGAAGCTGTTTTCAAGCTCTTCAATTCTTCCTACACCAGCATATCGAGTAATGTCTGTTGGGATGCAGAGTGTAAAGTAGAAGGTTCAATTAGGTCCTGAAGCAAAAAAGTGGTGAATCCTAAACACAGGCTAACAGTTAGTTCTGTCCTTAAGAGCCATACTTCTTTCCTTCTTTAAATTATTGGTAGTGAAGGCATTAGATAACCCCACCCCCATGCCAGAGGGTAACAAAAGTTATGTAACTACCCTGGGGCTGGAGAGATGGCTCAGTAGTTAAAAACAGTTCCTGCAACTTCAGAGGACCAAAATTTGGTTCCAGGACCCACATGGGGGTAGCTCACAACCACCTGTCCATCCATCCCCAGGGGATCCGACACCCAGGGGATCCGGCCTCTGAGAGCACCCACCCACACATGGCACACACACATACATGTGAGTGAAAATAATATAAATCTTAAAACAATAATAATCCCCAATGTCCTGCTCCGGTTTGTTTCCATCAGAATAAATGCAAAGGAATAGCTGTGCCACCAACGAGGAGGGCCGTGCACATCCATATAGCATCGAGCAGTGTGAATGGTCAGGTTCCAGTTAACACCAAATCAAGTGCAGCTGTGTGTGCCTGACAGCTCTCCATCCTACAGTCAGGAAAGTAACTGTAAATAAGTATCCCCAAGGAATCAAAGATCACTGCGTAAATAGAGTGGATTGGAGACAGCCTGACCTGCATCAGCACAAACTGACAAGTCCACCCCACCACTGGACGCCACCGAGGAGACAACAAAATGGAATCCGCTGGTTGGAGGGGAACCCCTACTTATGTCTCATCACTGTATTTTTAGAGACATCCTCAGCTCATAAGCTACTAGAGACCTGCAGATATCTCCACGGTAGACCTTTGAGTATTGGTTGAACTCGTCTCTGAATTTTTCTGTAAGTTAAAGGAGTTTCATTTTAAAACTTAACTATGGGGCTTGAGGGAGGGTTCAGTGGGTGAGAACAGTGGCTGCTCTTACAGAAGACCTGAGTTCAGTTCCAGGCACCCACATGATGGTTAACAACACTCTGAAACTCCAGGTCCAGGGGATTCAACGCCCTCTCCTGGCCTCTACGGACACTGCATAAATGCATGCACTTACATACATGCAGGCAAAGCACTCATAACATAAAATTTCTTAAAATAAATTAATTTAAAATTTTAAAATTAACTAGTGATACACGTGAAGATTCATGTATTGACCAGGCCTTTACGGCTATAGTTACAATTCTGTAGTATTATTATAATAATAAATATACCATTCTCGAATGTTATCTAGATTTTGAAAGTTTATTCTTTAAAGGTTTATTCATACACAGGAAAAATATTTACAATAAAGGAAAACATGTAACATGCAGTTTATTTTCAGGTAGGAAAAAACACCAGACAGCTTACCGAAAAATTAGGAGTCAGGATTTTTAACACCTTTGGTCTCTCTTTTTTATGTGCTTCAACAAATTTCCTTCAATTAATATGTATTTTCTTATGAAAGTAAGGGACAGTTTCTATCACAAATATTCACTTACTAAACCAGGATCTAACAGCATCCTTTTCAGAAAAAAATCCATTAGAGAGATGTGGATACACTGGTCCAAACAGCGCGTTCTTCATGCCGACACTGGGTGCCAGCGTGTGGCATCCCAGGGAAGGAGTACGAAGTTTGTGCAAGACACTTGGCTCATCTACACTGAGGAGTGTTCAAACCATACACTCCTTTATTTGACAAAGATTTATAATCAAGTACCATGTGCTAGAAACTAGGAATCAAAGCTCACGCACTGACAGCAGGCCCCAAATAGCTCACTGGCCTCATAAGAAGTAGAAAGATATAGAAAAATGTTTGACTAAAATACTTCCAGGAAGGTGGGGTATAAGCAGCAGAAAAAGGATGGGGAACGGGCATCAGCGGCATCTCTGGACGAGGTGCCATCTATGTCCTACAGAGCATTTGAGAACAGAGTTCAACACTCAGCTGACTTAGACCGAAGTCCTAGCTCACTACTTAACAGCTACTGGACCTTTTGAATGTTATGTACATCCCCTGAGATTTAATCCCTTCTCCTTTACCTGTATTATAGGATCATGCTTTTAAAGTAACATCTGTGTATATACTGAACTCATTTTCAGAGAGAAAAAAATAAATTATATATAGTAAGAGAAAATGATCAGTGTTGATAGATACATAATATTACATATGATCAGCCATTAAAATAAAATTGGAGGGTCTGGGGAGATGGCTCACTAAGCTTCACAAAAGGAGAAGAACCTGACTTCAGATCCTCCAAACCAACGTCAGAAAACCGGATATAGCCAAACACATCTGTAACCCTAGTTGGGAGGGTGTAGAGACAGACCAGTGTAGTCAATCAGTGAGCTCTGGGTTCAGGGAGAGACCCTACCTCAAAAGAAGATGGAAAACAATAGAGAAAGACACTCTTTGGACACATACATGAATACAACACACACATACACACACACACACACACACACAAACACACACAGAGGAAAGAGTAGTAAAACGAATATAGCAAAGTTAAAAATCCAACCATTTTAGATGAAGAATACACAGGCCTAGTCATAGTTTCTGAAGAATTAACATTTACTTTTCACAGAGTTGATAAAATATAATTAAAATGTTTATGCTTGGGCTACAGAGATGGCTCAGTGATTAAGAGGACTTGCTGTTTTTGCAGAGGACCAGAGTTTAATTCCCAGTACCCACATGATGGTTCACAATCAGCTATATAACTCCAGGTCCAGGGGATCCAATGTCCTATTCTGGTCTCTGCGGATACTGCGTGCATGTGGTACACAAAAATACATGCAGACACTCACACATAAACATAAAATAAAAATACATATTGTGGCTGGAGAAATTGCTCAGCGGTTAAGACCACCAACTGCTCTTGCAGAGGACCCGGGTTCAATTCCCAGCACCCAGATGGCTGCTGCGAACTGTCCTTAACTCCAATTCCAAGGGAATCCAAAGCCCTCTTCTGACATCTGTGGCAATGCACAACATGGGTGCACTCACATACATTCAGGCAATACACTCATACACATAAAAAATAATAAAATATTAAAAAAGAAAATATCCCAATCCAACCCCAATTCAATCGCAAGAATATTTCGCTACAGAAAGAACCAAATGCCTTAGTTACCAAGTACCTAATGCAACCCTCTTTGTTTCTGTTATGAGGAAACTGAAATCCAATGAGTTAAAGATACGAACAACCAAAAAAACCCTTCAGGGGTCAAAGAACAAAAGAGACAGACAGAATGGAGCAATTCAGCTCTCTGCCTGCCTTGCACGCCTCCCACTCTCCAAAATTGGTGGGATCAGGGTCAGAGAGATATCCTTATTTTCTTCAAAAACTAAGGGAGCTGCTGAACTTCAGAGAGAACATTTTAGTTAAAAGAAAAGCATAGTGACAATCTTTACAGAAGTTGCTGTAGCGACATTTTGGAGCTACCCCACCCTTGTTACTGAAATCAGACGCTAGGCATGAACGTGGTGAGTCCACACTGAACGCAATACTTTCACAGGCTGACTTACTGTTTCACAGTATTGTAAAGGCACGAATAGAAGGGTTGGCCAGACGGCCGACAGGGCATCTCGCACTCTCCCGCTCCTTCACAGTGAGGAACCAAAGCACAGGTGAATTTGAGGGGAGGGGCTCAGAGATGGCTCAGTGGGTAAAAGGGCTTCCCACACAAGCATGAGGATCTTGGTTCAAATCCCCAGCACCCATGTGAAAAAGTCTAGTGACTGGGTGTGGTGGCATACCTTTAAATCCAACACTCAGGAGGCAGAGGCTGGAGGATCTCTGTGAGTTCAAGGCCAGCCTGGTCTACATGACAAGTTCCAGGACAGCTGGAGCTATACCTGTCTCAAAAAGATCCCCGCCCCCCAAAAATGGAAAGTCTAATGTGGATGTATGTGCCTGTAACCCCAGCACTATGGCGTGAAGATGGGAGGGTCACCGGGGCTTGCTGGTCACCAGCCTAGTGGTCAGTGCAGTGAGAGACCTTGTCTGAAGGAAATAAGGTAGACAGTGATCCAGTAGCCCCCTCTGGCCTCCATGCACGCAGCGTGCGTGAGCACACACACACACACACACACACACACACACACACACGCACGCACTCACGCACGCACTCACGCACGCACTCACGCATGCACACACACACATGCACACGCGCACACACACACACACACACACACACACACACACACACGCACGCACTCACGCACGCACTCGCATGCACACACACACACACATGCACACGCACACACACACACACACAATGAAAATGACATTCACGGGCTAGAGAGATGGCTCAGGAGGTAAATGATTATCACACGAGTGTGAGGATTTGAGTTTGGTCTCCAGATTGCACATAGAAAGTGAGACATGGCCATATGTGCTTATAACCTCAGTGCTGGGGAGGTAGAGGCAGGAGGATCCTGGGGCCTTGCTGGCCAGCCGATGCAGCCCAATCAGAGAGCTTCAGATTCAGTGAAAGACTCTCTCAAAACATAAGGTGGGGATCAACTGAGGAACTCTCCCAACTTAGACCTGTGGGCTCTACATCCACATACATACACCACACCCAAAGAAAAAAGAAAATGGTTGTCAATTTTCATAGATAGTATCAGGAAATAATTAATGTAATCAAAACTGACTGGCACAAATTGAACAAAAAGGTTGATAAATAACATCATTATTTTTTATTATTATTATGAATTTGTTTTCTTGAAACAGGGTCTCCCTATAGGCCTTGCTGGCCTGGAACTCACTAGGTAACCCAGTCTGGCCTCAATCTCACAGACATCCACCTGCCTCTGCTCCCTGAATGCTGAGATTAAAGGTGTAGGTCTAACCATGCCCAGCTGTTTTCATTATTTTTAATTGTGTGTGTGTGTGTGTGTGTGTGTGCAGTTGCCTGAGGAGGTGAGAGATTTCAAATGCCCTGGTTCTGGAGTTATAGGCCATTGTAAGCTGTCTGATATGGGTGCTGGGAACTGAACACAGACCCTCTGCAGGAGCAGCATGGGCTCGACTGAACCATCTCTCCAGCCCCCAGCATCTCTATTAACTGAGCTGTATAGTAAAACATAATAACTGGGGTTTGATACTTTAGTAGTATGAATTAAGAAAGATACACAAACATTCCAACAGAACAAAACAGATTTCCACAAAGCCAATGCATGCAACCAGCATATGTAAAATAAAACGCTGGACTCACTGTCCCTCCTTTGTGTTTGTTATATACTCCAGCTACCTTCAGGGACATCCTACAGATAACAGAGGCTGCTGCGCTTCTAAGGGAAGTCTTTCTGGCAACAAATCTTACCATAATTAGTGCACAGGCGCTCTACTGGTTATTTCACTCTGAGCCACACCCACCCTATTTGTAAATCTGTAGAAACAAGGCTAGAAGCTGCCTCTTCTAACAAGGACAGAAAGCTTGACTTTGCCTGGTGCGGAGCCTCTGGCCCCACAGCAGGAGGTGTGTGATGAGCACACAAGGCCAGCCTGGGAGATGGCAGAATGTGGGGGCAAACTCAGCCACAAAATCTATGGTTGGGGCTACAAGCAAGGGAAGTTCAAACAGATCACAGCAGGCTAACATTTCCTGAGAACTTAGCTTTCTTCTTTACCATTACTGAAATACAGACAGGAATCCACATAATAACCCAAACCAAATGGGACAGATTTCTATTCAATGCAAATCTGAATTGGGGGGGGTAGAAGAAAAATAAAGATATATTTACTTCTGGTTTACAACGTGCCAGACAGCATATAAGCACTTTCCCATCATTACTTAACATTAGACCCGTTTTTTCCTAGGGAGAAAATAACTAAGATATTAAATCACTTGTCTGGGGTCTCACACGTAATTAAGTGATGTCATCAGTTGTACACTAATTGGATTAACATGAGCATCGGGTTTCATTGTGGTGTTTATTTTTGTTACCCTCTCTCCCCATCACCCTACCCCATGCTGTGCCCTTCCAGCCCCAGTACCCTCCCTCTGGCTTTGGTCTCATGTGTTCTGTTACCCTCCAAACCTCTTTTTCCCCTCTGGTGGTTCCTTTTTAGTTTCATGACCCGTAACCACACTTTCACCAACACATATACACATATACAAACGTTAAAAGCAAGGACCCACCTATGAGCACGAACATGTAGTATTTGTCTTTCTGAGTATAGGTTACTTTGATTAATGTAATAATTTCTAGGACCACTCTCTTTCCAGCAGATTTTATGATTTAAGTTTTTTTGTTGTTGTTGTTTTTTGGGGTTTTCTTTTTGAGACACAGTCTCCCTGTAGCCCCAGCTGTCCTAGAACTTACTATGTAGACTAGTTTTTTTTGTCCTGGAACTCACTACGTAGACCAGGCTGGCCTTGAACTCCCAGAGATCCGCCTGCCTCTGCCTCCTGAGTGCTGGGATTAAAGGCATGCGCCACCACGCCTAACTGATTTAAGTTTTTTATAGCTGAATAAAATCTCACTGTATAAATGTAGCCCATTTTCATCATCCATTCATCTGTTGATGGAAATCTAGGCTGATTCTGTTTCCCTGCTATTGTGAACAAGGATGATCAGGTGTCTCTGTGCTAGAATACACAGTCCTGTGGGTCTATGCCCATGAGTGGAACAGCTGGCTGGTCTGGTAGTTCTATTTTGAATTTTCTGTGAAACCTCCATACTGATTTCTTTATGGTAGAATTCATCCACCCAATAGAAGCTTTTGAAGTGTCACTCTTCCCCAGCAAGCTGCAATCCACATTAAGATGAGACTGGGTTTTATTCATTTAGCCACCACAGACCCCGACAGAGGGCCTGACCCATGTCAGAAACTCATTCTAGCTCTGTGCAGTCTATGGAGAGGAGAACACCACAAACCATTGATGACCCAGGGAAGACCTGAATGGAAAGTTAACCACTGTGGAATGCCATATTTCTGCCCACCATTTGTTTCCTTTTACTCACAGACACCTCCACCTTTTCCAAATCCTTGCTGAGTGGGGATGGACAGCATTGCTGCAAAGACAATTTCCAGGATGTCAGATCCTATCAGCCACATGGTGCCCTGGCCATTTACAGCTGCAACATGTCTGTTTGTTCACTCAGGCTACGGCTGGTTACAAAGAACACCATACAGCAAACACAAAGGACGCAAGAAGGCAGAGGTCTTACCATCACCCACATCGAAGTCCTTAAAAGCCAGCTCAGATCCCGAGTCATCCAGCAGGATCTCACCGTTCAGGGTGAACATCATGGTGTGTTCGTTCATGTCAACCATACAGCCCACAACATCACCTGCTTGCCAAGAGCGCCCGTAGTGTTCGTTACCCTGGTGCCACCGCTGTGCCTAAGGAGGACAGAAGAGTCCCTTGTCAGAGTCTGGCAGGGGAGCAGCACCCACCCACCTGTCACAGGCAGGACTCCACAGCAACCCTTCCATTAACAAAGCAGTCAGATGACCCGCAGTTAGCACTAGCAGTCTAGGGCCAAAGCTAAGCCATAGCAAATGTCTGGGGATTCCAAATCCCCAATGTTAACATGAAGAAATCTTGAACAAACTCAGAGGCTAGTTCATGATTTTGAGAGTTGATGACTTAAAAAAATCTAACCAAATGTACTATATGATCCTTTTATACTTTATTTTTTATTTACTTATTTATCTATTTACTTTTACGTGCATGAGTGTTAATTATGCTTGCATGTGTGTAAGTGCACCTGTGTCATGGAATGCCTTCAGAGGACAGAAAAGGGTGTCGGATCACCTGGAACTGGAGTTATGGTGGTTGTTAACTCTGCAAGAACAGCCAGTGCTCTTAACTACTGAGTCATCTCTCCAGCCTCCATAATTTACTTTTTAAAACTACAATGAATGCTTCCCAGGATATAGGTTGTTTTTCTGTACTCCCTCATATGCAAAAAACTAAGATCTGGGAATCAAGCTGGGAATTCTCCACTGAAAACAGAATCCTAATGTCTATCTTTCTCAAAATAGAATCCTGTTCCTTGGAGCCAAGGCAATGTGACTTAAACAAAAATGGAATGCAGGAATCTTCTCATTTATATTCTGACATCAGAAGGCTTAAATAAAAGCTACAAATACTCCTAAGATATCTGTGAAAGTAACAAGTCAAAACATAAACACAATATCAACCTGTTTATATAAGCAAACTGTCATAAATATACTCAAATACATAATGTTAATAAATGTGAGTTTTGGACCCACTAATTTATAGGTACAAAATGAGTTATATTAATTACTTTGTCAGATGAATCTTTCCAATTGCTGCTGAATCATCACCTTCATTTTGATATGTAAAAGGTTATGACACCCACTCAAAATAGTGATATTATTCTTCTCATAATACACTGTGCTTTTAATTTTTATTGCTCTTCTAATGTATGTATTTTGCCTGCATATATATGTGTGTATGCATGTGTGTGTGTGTGTTTGCAACATGTATGCAATGCCCTCAGAGGCCAGAAGAGGGTGTCACATCCCCTGCAACAGGAGTTACAGACAGTTGTTAGCCATTACGAATGTGATGGAAACCAACCCCTAGTCCTCCACAAGAACAGCTCTTTTAGGGCCTAATAAATAAGGCATCAAAGTTACAACTCAGAACTCCCCTAATCAGCTCTGTTCATTTCTTGACCCCACCAGTCCAGCCTCAGGTTAAGCATCCTTCCTCAGCTGTGGTCAGACTGGGGATAACGGGTACTTTAATTTCTTAGGGTTAATCCTACCTCTGATTCACTACGTCTGATCTTCAGAAAGAATAAAACTAAAGTTGCCTGGTTTGTTTGTTGAGATAAGGTCTCCCTGCATGTTGGCCCTGAACTTGTGATCCTCCTGCCTCAACCTCCCCAGTGATGGGATCACAGGTGTAGGTGTTTATTTACCATTCCTGATACACAAGACTCATCTTTCTGACAACGTTTGGGGAAATGTCATAGCAGCTGGGGTGGGGGTGGAGGGCTCCTGAAAATACAAATATTTCCTGTCTACGGCAAGTCCAGGGTCTGACACACTGATCTCACTGGGCTCCCAGAGTGCTGGGGTAATAGCATCTGTACATTCAAGCAGAAATAGGCCAGTCCTCAGCAAAGCTACTCACCTTGAAGCCATCAAAAGCAAAAGCACGCTCATCAGAGCCCAGTTCCAGATCTGGCTGGCAGCCTGGCCTGCTCCAGCCCACCCGCATGTCTCCAGAAGTGACCGCCTCAAACTCAAAGTACCAGCGCCCAGCCTTCACTGCATAGGTCTTCTCCGCCCGGAAGATGCGGAACCTCTCCCCAGTGCCGCTGCATACCTCGGCTCTGGCGGCTGTGGGTTTGAGAGACTGGAGATCACTGGGTAGGAAATTAACAGAAGAGCAGGACTTCATCCAAGCTCAGCCACAGAACCCTCAGGAGGGCCGGCCACCCCACCTACACCCTCTCCCACTCCACCACTGACCCTCTGGTCCAGCACAGAACCTTGGGGTACAGCAGAGCAGAAAGCCAGACAAGGCTCCCTGGAGAAGCTGTGGGGAACTCAGTAACTGACTGCACACATGGGCTCCCTCCTTCTCTCTGCCCCTTTAAGAACGGAACCACCTTGTTGAGGAGGAAAACCAGCAAGCTGTTGGGTGGTTTAGCCTGGGGAGAACACGTGAACTTGAAGACTTGGGTGGAAGAAAGACACTCAAAGGTCTAGAAAGCCACAGCTAGCTAAAGCCCAGAGAATAAGAAGCTGCAGAGTGCTTATCCCTGAGCAGGACACCCATGCCAAACCTTAGCCACCCAAGGCTCAGGGACCATTGTGGAAGCGGGGTATGGCCACAAGGAAACAGTCTTCTCTGTTTCCCACACCGCTGGGAGGTTACTCATAGGAACTCACAGCAATGGTAACAGCATGCACAAAATCCACACAAACTCAAACCAGAAAAAAATAATTGAACCATAGATATGGGAAGTGGGTTAGACATTCCAACCTTAGCTGAGGAACTTTGGCGACCAGTAACTGTTGGGAGAGGAAGAACTGGTTTTCTTTAATGGTGTGAGGCTACATGGGTTGACCAGGCTCCAATGGATAAATACACTCCAAAGGACATTTGCAGACACAGACTTGACTTGATAGGCCTTACTATATATGACAGAGTACATGAAATCCAGCAACGAGAAGTTGCTGTAAGAGGGTGTGGATGGGGAGAGGGTCTAAACATGATCAAAATACATTGTATGAAATTCCCGAAGATTCAATAAATAAAATAAAATAAAAGGTCTAAACTGCTCTGAAAAGCAAAAGAGCATATAACCAGCCTGCCTTGCGATCCTTCCTTTGGCGCTATTCAAACAATGGGCGTGGAGAAATCAGAGGCTCCTAGGAATCTCCCCCTGGGAGAAGAAAGGGCTAAAGGCTGCAACCAGAGGAGAAACAGGTCTCTGGGAAAAAGAGAAACAGCTTATCCTGGGATCTTGCAGGAGAGACTCAGAGCAGAGACAGTACTGGGCAGGACCACACCTTGGCCAGCCTGCTTAGTTATTTAAAACCAAACCCCAGGTCTGAAACGCCAAAATGGAATCAGAGGGGTCACGGGATCTTCTGTCCATCTTCCTAATCCAAATAAATCTCTTTTTTTCTGTTTTATTCCTTATTAATTTAATTATTTAATTGGCTTATCAAGGTGCAGGAACCTTGCAGGCTGGGGCACAGGCTGTGACCTCAAATCCCTTAAAAAGCAGGTGTTAGGCTGGGAGTGGTGGTGCAGGTTTTAATCCCAGCACTTAGGCGGCAGAGGGCAGAGGAGCTCTGTGAGTCTGAGGCCAGCCTGGGCTATAAAGGGGGTCCCAGGTCAGTCTGGGCTACAGAGTGAGACTCTGTCTCAAAAAATAAAAGTGAGCAAAATAAGCAAACATTTGGGTAAGATACAGTCGGAAAGGAGTCAGAGAGCGAACGGGCGAAAGGCCAGGCTGGGTGCTCTAAGAGTACGGTGGCTGAAGGCTCTGTGGCATGATGCAGAAGTTTTCCACTCACCCATACATTCAACCTAGCTGCTGTGCAGACAGACGTGTCTGAGAAAAGAGGAGGGGCCAGAGCAAGACAAGGGAAAATACACGCGTGTGAATGTTCTGTGTGGCACCACTCACCACCCTGAGCACTTGAAATATTGTTCATATGACTGAGATGCAATTAACTTTCCTCAACTTGACTCTGAACAGCTTTGAGTGGACAGTGAGGAGTGCTGTTCTGAGGAGTGCATGCTTTCCTGATGGACTGCTTGATGATTGATTGATTGATTGATTGATTGATTGATTTACTTATTTAAGTGCTTATTTTGCTATTATTATTACTATTTATTATTATTATTATTGGGGTCTGTGGGGGGGTAAAATCAAGTGACTGGGAGACTGAGAGGGCTAGGTAGGAAACATCAGGCCAAGTAGGAGCTAAAACCTAAAACAGAAGTGTGACCCTGAGCAGGCACACCCCACAGAAATCTCAGAGGACAGTGGTGAGGGCCCACTGAATGGACATGTCCCATCATGTGTCATGTAAGGTCTGAGTGAAATCTGGTTGAAGAGACCTGGAGTACTCTGGTGACGTCACACAACCCACAGAAGGCAGAGCGGGAGCCACCTGAAGTTACAGCCAACTCCTTCATGCTCTGCCACCTGCAGCTGGTGTGGAGTTAGCAGATGCCAGACAAACATTTGCTTGCATCTGTTCCCTTTTGAAGATCTGGGTATCATTTACAAATCATAAAAGTGTAGTAAGAGTTTGACTATTGAAAACAAATGACCAGATAAAACTACAACCTAACGCTCAGCATGGTGTGGTCTCACACACCTGGGATCACAGCACCTAGGAGGTGGAAGCATAATGACCAGGACTTCAAGGTCATCCTCAGCTACATAAAGAGCTTGAGGCTAGCTTGGGCTATGTGAGACCTTGTGTCAAGAAACAAGCAAGCATGCTGGGCCAGTGGTGCATGCCTTTAATTCCAGCACTTGGGTGAGGCAGAGATTGGCAGATCTCTGTGAGTTTGTGGGAAGACTCTTCTATACAGCAAGTTCTAGGCCATCTAGGGCTACATAGGAAGATCTTGTCTAAAAGAAAAAAAGGAAAACCAGCAAACAAAAATAAATAAATAACAATCTAGATAGGGTCTAGAGACCAGTTTATCACTGATAAATTCAACTCCTAATTTTCTAGTGAACTAAATTACTAAAGTCTCTGAGTCACTTTCCTGTTGTTTCTGAGAGATCAAAATTCACAAATACATAGTGAGCTAGAGGAATTTGGTAACATTTCAGTAATAGTTTTAATCAAATATTTTGAAAGCCAAATTTGGCATAAAAACACATGACAGGTGCTGGAGACATGACTCACTGCTTAAGAGCAAGTACTGCTGTTGCACAGTACTCAAGTTGGGTTCCCAGCACCCACACTGGCCTCATGCAATCTCTGCCACCTGAAATTCTAACTCCAGTGGATCAGGGGACTTCTGGCTTCCATGGCACACATACTCATGTGCACATACCTATACACAGACACACACAGACACAGACACAGACACAGAGAGCTGTAGAGAATACTGACTGCTTGCGCAGAGGACCCGGTTGGGTTGCCAGCACCCACAACTCTAGCTCAAGGGATCCAACACCCTCTTCTGGCCTCTGTAGGCACTGCACCCACATGGAACATACATAAATACATACAAACACTCAAACATATAAAAAATAAAATAGTGGTTGGAGAAATGGCTCAGCAGTTAAGAACACTGGTTGCTCTTCCAGAGGATCTGGGTTCTGTTCCAGCACCCACATGGCACTGAACAACTGTCTATAAGTCCAACTGTTAAATCTTGTAATGAATCAGAATACATTCCACTTTCTGATGTTTTAATGGATCATTGAGACCAGTACTTCAAGGTAAAACTTCATTCACATATAAATATTAAATAATAAATAAATAAATAAATAAATAAATAAATAAAATCTTAAGCATTTCTTTCTAAATATCCTGGTATGGAGACACACCAGGAATATTTTTCACTAACAGGGGGAGGAAAATACTGGAACTCCAGGGCCATGGGCAGAGCTCAGTGATAAAGAGTTCACCAAACATGCGTGTCCTTGCTCTGATTCCTAGCACTGAAAACAACACAGGAAGTCTATAGCAACAATGATGATGTCCTGGTTCCATGGCCTGGCTCACGTGACCTACGATGCTTTGTTCCCGTGTTGTTCTTCGGTGATGCTTTCCTTGAACTGCTGAATGCCCTACTTAGATGTTATCATGGAAGGCATTCTTTAGTGACATGCTTTTCCTTCCTTCTTTAACCAAGCCACTGACCAATGTCTCAATGTCTATGTAACTGACAATTCATGCTCTGTATTTCTTTACTTAGTTTAAGGTAGATTCGACACATCTATTCAGCATTCTGTTCTCGATAAAAACACTGGAGGGAAGATGAACATCTGTACCTAGTGGACTTAAAGAAAGAAAACACCCAGGCAATCTGAAAGGAAATTCTTTGGCATGCCTTTAGCGCCAAGCATATGCACACAAGGACCCACTGAATTGAGAGTCCCTTGAGCGTTGGGCACAGGAGTTCACTAGACAACCAATGGGTCACAATCCTGTCAAGGACTCAAATCTCCTCAGATCTCCTCTCCTAACAGAAAACTATCACACACTGCTTGGTTTAATGCCAGCTTCATACATGTTTATTAGGTAACTCTAACACATGCAAGTATGCTACACAAATGATTTTTATATTATTATAATGAATAGACTATTTGACATTTAAAACTGTACTGTTAGCAGGAGCCTTTCTATAGCAGTTTTATCAAGAATTTTAGGAAGAATACCTTTAAAAGACCACCTGGAGGTTTAAAACAAGGTCTGATCAAACACTGTGTTCCCTAGTCCCACAGGCCTGGCACAGATGGGCACGGGATGACCAACCAAATAAAACCTACAGAAAATCTTACCTTATATTCTACTGTTTATTCCTTTCTACTTTGCCTATGAGTATTTTGCCTGCATGTATCCAAGTGCACCACATGTGTGCAATGTCTGCAGAGGCTAGAAGAGGGCATCGATCCCCTGAAATTGGAGTTACAGACAGCTGTCAGCCTCCATGTGGGTGCTGGCCAAGAACCCAGGTCCTCTGCAAGAGCAGCCAGTGCTCTTAACTGCTGAGCCATCTCCCCAGTCACTACATTATATCCTAATGTGCACTGATCTCCAATTACTCACCAGACCAAGCACAGGCTTAGAGGCTACCAAGCACTAGAGGGCAGTTAGGATCTAAATATGCAGGAAAATGATAAATG